CACAGGAATGGTGGTTCTCATCCTTGCTCACATTTACAAATGTCAGAGGAAAAAAATCCCACTCAAACCTTCCAAGAACAGGCTTGTCTTTATTCAAACCAGTTCACCCAGTTTGCGGGCTTTTTTGGAAGCCTATGGCACACAGCACAGAGCAAGCTTTCTGGGTTTCCACGTAGAGCTAAGAAGCAAACGTTAACTTCTTCAGGCGTTCGTTTATTTGTGCACAGGACGAGGAAGTTGCCCTCAAGCAACTGACTGTCATTGCAATTCAGGGTTCACTGTCAACCAGAACCTTCCAGGAACTGGCTCCCGGGCCAAGACAAGTAATCACTGGGTGGTCATCGCCGCCCGCAGACATCGAACCAGGTCCAGGTCTCAGGGGGCGGGAAGGAGTCAGGGCCCTGTCTGGAGGCTGGAACCAGCCGGGAAGCAGAGCACGGTCGCGGGTTCTGCTTCTGGTCTGCTGAATGTGTTATCCTGTGCAAGTCACTTCTCTTCCAGGAGCTTCAGAGTTCTCATTTGCCAACTGGACGGGTTGGATGGAAGTTGGTCTTTGCCAGCTCTGACATCCTGTAAGTTTGGAGTCTTGCTGGGAATCCAGGGCGAGGCTCACGCGGAAGATCTCGGAACGGGATCCCACAGCAGGATCTGTTCCCCTCAGGCTCAGCGCCCCAATCGGACGCCGCGACAGTAGTGCCAGGTCCCCCTATTTCTCTAGCAGCACCTCCACTCGGCCGCTTCCTCCTACGTCTCCTTCCTCTTCCTCCAGTACAGGCAAAGCCTCCACATCTCCCTTTCCCTTCCTCCTTTGCAGGCTCCCCGCATTCCCGCGTCTCCCCGGTTTCCTCCCAGGAAATGCAATGCCCTCCTAGCGCCCACCTTTTGGCAAAGCCGCTGCGGGCTGCGGTCCCCTCCCCCGCCAGGCGAGGTCCGCACGGCGGCCCCGCGGGCACACGCCTTCCCATACCTTACATGGACAAATGTATGCAGGCAAAGTCAGGAATTCAGGCCCCTGACGTCAGCCTCCAGCGCTCAGGGCACCGCACGGGAGACCGAGGGGAGGGGGTGGGGACGGTGGGGAGGAAGGAGGGGGAAAGGCACCAACCAGCAGCCGCTCCTGCCCTGCCGAAGTTTCACTTTTTGTCTGTGGGTTCGCTCCCGGGCCCCGCGCGAGCTTTCCCGGGACAAGTAGCTATAGCGAGCGGGGGAGAGCCGGGCGCTGCAAGGTAAGGGTTGGCTGCGCGGCCCCAAGACCGGGCGCTGGGCGCGGGCGGTGCGCTCGGCCGGGCCACTGCGGGGCGCGGGGCAGGGCCTGTCCGGCCGGGGACAATGGGAGGGGGAGTGCCCCGGCACCTCCTCCTCTGCCTCTGCCTCCGCCTCCAGCCGCCGCCGCCGCCGCCGCTGCCCCGGCTGCCTCCTCCCCGAGGTATTGTCGCAAATCCTTCCTTCCCCCCACCCTCCGCCCGCGGGTGCCTCGGGAACCCCCAGCCCTCCCCGGGCGCGAGCGCCTCCGGGGTGGCAGGAGCGCGGGGTGTAGAGCTCAGGGCGCGCTCCCTGCTCGGGCCACCAGGCCCGCGGTGCGGAAGTGCCGGCCGCGGCCCAATCACGGGGTGCACAGCATGGGGGAGGGGGGCCCAGAGTTTTGGGGGAAGCGTTCACCCCGGGCTGGGTGGGACTGGAGCCTTTTCCTGAGCGCCCCCTGCTCGGACTTTTCTGGGCGCCCAAGGGGCGGGGCCACGCCCATCCGCTTAAGCTTTCGCGGAATCACAGTTGTCACAGTGGAAATGGCCTAGGGACCCAGTCATCCAAGTCCTTCCATTTTACAGTTGAGGCAACAGAGGCCCAAAGAAAGGGAGGGTCTTCCAGGAAGTCGTTTATTTGAGGCTAAGTCATAATTAAACTAGATGGCTCCAGACTTCTAGTTTCCTTTTCCTAAGAATTTCTTTAGTCCCTACTGTGTGGCAGGCAGTGTGCTGGGTGTGTTGGGCCTTCTGAGACTTTGCCCTCAAGGAGTGCTCATTGGAACCTGGGAGGCAAACTTGACCCTGGAAAACAAGGGCTAAGTGGTGGGGAAAAGGGCGCGCAAAGTTTTTGCAGGGGGAAAAGTTTTATTTTCTGGTCCCTAGAGAGGGACCAAAGAATCAGGGTTTTTGAAGGATGGGGAGTTGTTTGAAGCCAGCCAGGGGCGCGGAGGAAGACCATCTCTGCGAGAGAACTGCAGAGCAGAGAACGCTAAATTGTGTGGGGATGACACTGGATGTTCTCACGTTGGAGGTGTGGGGTTTGGGGTGGGGGTGGTGGTGACGGGAGATGAGCTAATCAGTGGAGTTGTGCCTGAGTGCTTTGACGGGGCAGTGGCTCTGGTACCTTGGGGTCCTAAGAGAAAGGAGTATTCTCTCTGGCTTTCCTTTTCTTAGGAGGTATCCCCTGCCCACCCCCCACCCCCAAATCAGTTAGTGAAAACTCAGGGCCCTCTCTGAGTTTCTTAAGACTCACTTAACTTTGTTTCCAGTCTCCTTTCTCTTTCTAGCTCCTCTTCCTTTTCTAAATTTCTTGCCACCCCACTAAAACTCATCATCACTTAGGTGTGAGTGACTTAATGGCTCACCTCTCCCTGAACAGTGCATTTTAGGAAAGCCTGTAAGTCAAGGGAGGGAAAGTGTGCCTGGGAAGGAGCACCTTTCAGAAACTAGGTAATCCCCTTTCCCCTCCGCTCCCTCCCTCCCTCTAACGGATAGAAGAAAAGCTCAAGGCCCCAGAGGGTGGTGGTGACTGGGAGAAGCTTGGAGAGGGCAGTGTCTTGGTGTTAATCTTGGAGTCTACAGTGAATAATGGTGGATGGTGAGGGGCCAGACCCTAGTAGCATTCTCTCCATCCCACCCCGAGCCCTTTTCCTTGCAGAGCGCCTCTCAGCACCAGGGGACAGTTAAAGGAAAGTGTGCAGTTTGTATTTAATTTTTGTACGGCAGCCTCTAAACCCAACACCCAAGCCTTTGCAGTGTAGAATATGGATTCTAGATGGGATTAGCTGTCTGAGTGGTAGGGGTATAAGCCTGGGGCCTTAGGGTCAGGCAGTCCCCCAAAGTTAGGCTCCTTGTAAGAGATACAGGCCTAGAGTTGGTTTTGGGTTGAGGCGGAGGGAGAGGAAGCAGAGCTGCTGAGCTCATTGCTATGGCTGAGACTGAGTAGGACCCTTCTTTCAGTGACATATTCTGGGAGGGAGGTGATCCCTCCATGTTCCAGGAAGTGGTGGGTGGGAGAGATGGAGACTTGGTGATGAAAGTTACAAATGCCAGGCTAAGGAGTTTGGGTAAGACTGGAAGTTATCATTTGAGGGTTTTTAGCAGGTTGGCACATGGCTTAGAGGGGGATTGGCACTGGGAAGCATCCTGCTGCCAGATTCCAATGAGAGAAGTGATAATTTGGCCTAAGAATATTATCAGTGAGTATTTGTTCATTTACTTGACATATGTGTAAGTTGCTGAGTACCTATTATGAGTCATTGGCAAATATGAAAATTTTATAGCAGTTTTCTGTATTTTATTTTATTTGAGACAGAGTCTCACTTTGTCACCTTGGTAGAGTGCCATCGGATCACAGCTCATAGCAACCTCAAACTCTTGGGCTCAAGTGATTCTCTAGCCTTAGCCTCCTGAGTACCTGTGACTACAGGCAGCCACCACAATGCCTGGCTATTTTTTAAAGGTGGGGTCTCACTCTTGCTCAGGCTTGCCTTGAACCTGTGAGCTCAGGCAATCCACCCGCCTTGGCTTCCCAAGTGCTGGGATTACAGCGGTGAGCCACTACGCTCGGCCCTTAGTTTTCTGTATTTTATTGAGACAAATTGCTTGATTTCAGTTTGAAAATACATTTTTTTCTTTTTAACATTTTAATATCACTGAAATCTGGATTGTCTTATAGTCATGGATGTGTCATAGTTGAACAGATTTTTCATTCTATGTTGCGAAGGACACATCTTGGAGTTGGTGGTTTAAATTTGATAAAATGTGTTGATCCTGTCCTTTATTAATGTACATTGCAGTTTACAAAACACTTTCCCGTCAGATATTCAACTGGGGTCTTAAATATCCCCCAAGATGCTGCCATCTCCGTTGTAAGCTTTGCCCAAGGTCATACAAATAATTGGAGATACGCTCAAAATTTCAACCCAGAACTTGGGCAAAGCTTACAATGGAGATGCTGCGTTAAATGGAAATAAGAAAGGAAGAAAATGGCAGATAACACGGTAAAACCAGAGGTTGGAGCCTGCTCACTATGAAGAAACTTTGCTAGGCCCTGGGTGGACAATGAGGTTCTTGTCCTTGAGGATGAAGGAGCACATGGAGTGTGTGTGTGTGTGTGTGTGTCTGTGTGGTTGGGGTTGGGGGATGCCTTACAGAAATTAATGCACACTTTCCTTTAACTGTCCACTGGTGCTGGGAGGAACTCTGCAAGGATAGGATAGGCTGGGGTAGCGAGAACCCCATTGGGCGTTCTGTACATATCAGTGTATTAAGGGCTTCCCTGAGGGGTGGTGACCTAGGTGAACGGGTAGGAGACTATGTAGGTGGAAGGACAGGTGAGAGAAGGCCCTGCTGGGCAAAGGCAGCAGCCTCTGCAGATGGAGGAAGTAGACGCTTTATTCTGGAGGCTGGGTTATGAATGGCCCGTGTAAAGAGGACTGTGGAAAATGGAGAAAGGTGAGGACTTCTTTTTTTTTTTTTATATTAAATTTCAAGTAATGGTTGACAAAGGGACCATTAAATGATTCACAGGAGAACAAGGCTCTGGAATCATCTCTGAGGGATTAGGTATTTGTATGGTAATACAGAAGGCCTTGTAGCACTTTTAGTAACTTTTAGCTTGAGTAAACCTAGGACTTTGACCCAGGGCAGTAATTAGAAGCTCAGAGCTGAGTGGGTGGGACTTTTCCTGGAATATGGCTTAGGAATGCTCTGCCTTGCTGGAAGAAACTTGCTTGAGGTGAGGATGGGGGCAGATGAAGTGGTCCTGCTGCGTGCAGGAAGTGGGTAGCTGGGTGGACATCACTGCCTTGAAGATGCAGAGGAGGGGAGCACATGAGGGTCAGGGGAAGGGAGGAGGGAATTCACTGTGTTGTGGGAAGCCGTTCTGGGCTGCTCAGAGGCTTGGGAAATGCTGGTCACAGAAGTGGGACTGGTAGGTAGATGGGGCGACTGAAGGGTTAATGAGGTTAATGCTTGGGAGCAGGTGAATTACACAGTTGAGGCTAGAAAATGTTTATCTTCCTTTTTCTTAGAAATAATATAATTTTGAAACATTTTTGAGTGCTTACCATGTGCTTTTGTAATGATCATAAGGATTCATTAGAGTAGGTTTTATGATTATCAGTTTCATTTTGCAGATGAGAAAATGAGTGTGTTGAAGTAAAGTTACATAACTACTAAGTGACCTTTGCTCTTTTGCCCCATTTATAGCCTCTTCACCACTCTTTTCTGTGTTTCCAACCACCAACAATTCAAATCAGTGTTGTTTTTTGGTGTTCTTCCCTAGAATTTAATTCAGCCCACATCCAATTGATGATTTACTTGGGTGAGCAGGCTTCTCAGTTCCACACTGGTGCTGTCATAGCCCCTCTTCACTGTGTCCTCAACCTTGGGTGCCTTCTCTTCCCAGACCTAACTGGAGAGGATGGAATCTCTTCCAAACGACCTGCCCCTCCACAGGGCCCTTCCCCAGTCCCCTGCAGTGATCTGAGCTGAAGCCTCCCTATAAAGAGACAGCTGGAGCAATTAGGTAACACAGTGGGGAGTGATAGGGTCTCTATCTCAGTCATTGCCCTTTATCTTGTGGCTCTTCTGACAGTGCTAGATGTTCTCTTGAGTTGAACCAGGCAGCTCCTTTTGGATCCTGCCCTCCTCTGGGTCACACTGAGCTCTTCTGCTAAAGTCTTCTGGCTCAGAGCTCAGAGGGATCTAACTGCAGGCCTTTCTATCACCTACCTGCTTCAGGCGGGTCATTTGCATTTTGATGACCTAGAGATTAAGGTGTGGATGAGCTGCTTGTTTTTCTGGCCAGAGAAGACAGACCCCAGGAATGCTACCCAGCAGGTGAGTAAGATCTTGTTTTTCTGATCTTTGAGTCCCTCTTATCTCTGTCCTCTAAAGATACTTAGTAGCTGTTTGTTAAGTGAATGAACAGTGTTTATTGACACAATATAAGCAGGAATCAATCACCACTTCATCTTACATATTTGCTTGTCCGCTTCTCTCCACCATAAAGACACTTCTTGAGGATTGCAGCGATGTCTACTTTGTTAATGGCCGTATTCCCAGTGCCCAGAAGAGTACCTGGTATGTTCTAGGCTAAGGTGACCAGATTTTAACATTGGTAAAGTGGGACACCATTGACGGTTCTTAATTAAAAATTTGGTCTATATGGAGCAACAAAAATTTTCATAGAATGCAAAAATAGTATTGTAATATATATTTTTAATTTCAACATAAGTACAGTGTACAAATATAATACATTAAAAAAATTATGCATAGGGCGGAGCCTGTGGCTCAAAGGAGTAGGGCTCTGGTCCACCTGGGCGACCTTGCCCAGGAGGGGAGTAGGGAGTTTATATATATATAACTCCATTTCCAAATGAAGTTATATTAACCTCTTCATTCCCAAATGGAGTTACATTAACCTTTCAGCAGCCGAAAACCTATATTTCCTTCCTGTTGTCCCACCGTTCCCTAGCTTGTTGTGCATTCTTTCCAAAAATTGGGACTTTTTAAAAACGCTGTGGGACGCAGGGCAAATTGTTAAAAAGTGGGACGTCTGGTCACTTTATTCTAGGCGCTCCAGAAATATTTGCTTGATGAAGAGAGGGAGTGACTGAAACCACAGGATAGCAGTCATGGGGGGTTAGGGGGCTGTTTTTCCTGCCCCAGAATCCTAGGCCTATGGAGTCCCAGGACTAGATTCAGAATCACTGTGCTCCAGCTGTCACAGCTCCGGTGGTGTTGGACAGTCCTGCCACCCTTTGCAGATTGGCAGGACCAGGAGTGTGGTGGTCAGGGTTGCTGCATCAGCTGTGCTAAAACTAAGTGCACTTGCACTGCTCTTTCACATTTCCCTCACACAGCCCTTGGTTATATTGTTCTTGAACATTCCTCTGTTTTCTTAACCCATGCCTTTGCTTATGCTGTTTTCTCTACCTGGAGTTTCTAGTCTGTCTATGCCTGCTGTTAATCCTATGAGCCTTTAAGATCAAGATCAAAATCAGCCTTGTAGCATGGAGCGATTTCTAGATGCCTTGACTCTTGCTACACATGTGAGTGTGACCACATATAACCAGTTTCTTGTATTAAATTCAGTACGTGTGTACAAAGTGATTCCTCTGTGCCAGACAGAAATGGTGGGTACTGGCTTACAAAGAAAATTAAGGTAGGATCTCCCTTCAAGGTTTTTCATTCTAACGTAGAAAAGAGGCTAAGCTAGAATATAATAAATCAATAAATGGATACAATGTAGAGCATCCCAATAAAGTGATGAGCAAAGCTCTTCTGGGAACACTAAGGAAAGAGTAACCAACCACTGAAAGCACTGGTGAATGTTTACAGAAAAGAAGATGTTTGGAGGAGTGACTAGGAGTTCACGTGGTGGCCAGGGGTGGAAGAGCTTTCTAGGCAGAGGGACCTTGGTATATGTGCAGAGGCCTGAGGCCTAGCGGTGTTGAAGGGAGCATAATTGTGTATTTGGAGCTCTCTGTGAGAGATAGGTCAAGTTAGGGAGGGTACCATGGCAAAGACCTGGTAGACGGAGCTGAGGACAGTGGCAGGCGAGCAGAGGAAGGAATGCTTTTCTTACTGTTTGAGAAAAGGAGTTTGTCCTTGGATCTGTGTTTCAAAGTAAGTGCTCTGGTGGCAGAATGATAGCCGGTTAAGACCAGAGGCAGACACCCAGCTTAGGAGGCTGCTGAAATGTTCCAGAGGAGATACAGGCCTTATCAGTTTAGCAGACTGGAGAAGGAAAAATGGATTCCAGAAACTATTTGCTGGTAGCATAATATCAGGTGGTTTATTTCCTACTTTTGTCCTTCTGATTACTATGTATTTGCCAGCTCATCAGTCTTGGCTGGAAAAAACTATTTTATGGACATGATAGCTTGTGGTCAGCTAGAAGCCACAAGCTGCTAGGCAGCTCCTGCTGTATCTGCATGGGCTGGGGCCTTGCAGGTCAGAGTCATCTGACCTCCATCTTGTGCAGATGAGGAAACCGAGGCTCAGAGAAAGGGGTCAGGCTTGCTCAGTCACACCCTTGTCAGCTGAGCTGGACTTGGGCCATAGCCCTTACTCCCAGGCCAGACTGGTTCCCGGGTTATTTTTCATTCTCTTTCTGCTGCACCTGACACATTCCTTCCCCAGCCCCTCCCCGCCCTCCAGGCACTTTGCTTTGGAGAATTTGTGGAGGGAATATGACTCGAGGGTAGTGAACCTCGGGCTTGAACCTTGGGCTTTGCACTTTGCAAAGAAAGTGATTGAGATCGTTCAGTTTGAGTGCGGTGTGGTTGGGGGACTTAGCTATGTGACTGCCATGGCAGTTACCTGCCATGGGTGTCTGCCACTGATGCTTGTCTGCAAGTACTAAGCTATAGCTCCATGCTAACTCCAAGGTCCCCTGCTTGTGACAGCTCCCTGCCCCCACTACCCACAGTTCTCTTTTTACTTTTACTTCTCTTTGTTTGCTTACAGGTTTTAGGCTGACAGTCTTAGATCCCTTGCAAGGTAGATCCTCCTTTCTTTTCTTTCCCTCTTAAACCTGCCCATCACAACCCTTCTCACGGTATCTATTTGTATTTCATGACCTTCATAGTACTTGATGTAGCAAATGCATTTGATAAGTCTTTTTTATTACTTAGTTTTCTCTGTTGCAATCCAAGAGATGGGTTGGTTGCCAGGATCAATTTTGTCTTGCAGATAGTGGGTGGTGAAAAAACCTTCCCACTGGGGCATAGGACCTAATGGGCAGAGTGAAAATTAGACTGTCAGCTCTGACACTCCTGTCCTGCTCCTTTTGCAAGTGAGTGTATGGATGTGAATGTCCTTAGCAAGCCCTTTACACATGTGAGAAACTCTCATGATTATTTCACTAGTAGTAATGAGTAGCATTGTCTGCTTGTATCTGAGACTGTAAGGCAAGGTTAAAAGTAAGATTTGGGGCTCGTTGCCTGTAGCTCCGTGGCTAGGGTGCCAGCCACATACACCAGAGCTGGTCAGTTTGAACCTGACCCAGGCCTGCCAGACAATAATAGTTACAATAAAAAAATAGCTGGGCATTGTGTTGGGTACCTGTAGTCCCAGCTACTTGGGAGGCTGAGGCAAGAGAATCACTTAAGCCCAAGAGTTTGAGGTTGCTGTGAGCTGTGACGCCAAGGCACTCTACCAAGGGCGACATAGTGAGATTCTGTTTCAAAAAAAAAAAAAGAAAGAAAGAAAGAAAAGAAAAGAAAAAGAAAATCAGATTCGGGACTGTGGAGCTGGAGGACCTAGTTCCCCACGCTACTTCATGTTGGCAGTACCTGTGACTCGGTACTGTCACAGGGAAAACTCAGACTTGTGTTTGAGCCAACCATGTTCCCTGTGATCCTAAGCAAGCTCTGGAACATCCCTGAGCCTCACTTGTCTTTCAGTAGAGATCATATGTCATATGCCTTTGTGAGAACCAGGAGAATTTCTGTGACAGAGCTTCGTGGACAGTCATGCAGTATGTCCCTGCGGCCAGACTGGTTCCTGGCCAGGCATCAGGCCCACTGTGACAGTGCCTTACTCTGCTAGTGGGATCGTGGTATTTAGACACAGAAAGCTCCTAGTTCAAGTTCTAGCTGTGCTGTGTAATAGAAGGTGCTCCCCGGGGGTGGTAACAAGTACTATTTCGTTTCCCAGCTTACTCATTTTTAGACTCTTATTAATGAGGGCATGACTGTGGGCATAGTGTGCTCCAGAAAGCGGGGGGAGTGCTGCAGGCGTCCACTGGCATTTCTGTGCTCTGCAGAGAGGAGGTTTGTCACCAGCGAATGGCTGTGCAGTCACCCTTCTCCTATTGTGACTGTTCCGTCTTTGGGGTTATGTTTGTACCTTTCTGCCCTACAGGGTTTGCTTCTCTGCAGTAATTGCTTGTGTTGTGGCCTTGCAGCACAGTGGGAGGGCCCCTGTGATTCACATAGAAGCCTGAAGATCAGGGCAGGCCAGGGGACTGATTTAAAGTAGCGCTTGGGTCTCCCTCCACCCCAGTGTGCATGCTTATCCTGCCATAGCACTTGGCAGTGCTCCTTAGTTACTTAGGCCATCACCCAGCAGTTGGGCCACCACCTTGCAGGGGTCATCAGAAGGCACAAGTACCTTCCCCTGTTGGTGGAAGATGGCTGTGATGTATGTACTGTGAGTTCTTTGGCATTTTTAGAGAACATTTTTGTATGTCAAGGAATCAGTGTCCTTAAAGTCAGCCTCTGTGTCCTTATCTGTAGAAATGGGTACAGCAACAACACCTGCTCCACAGGCAGGGTGACCATACTTTCTGGTTTACCCAGGACATCTCTATTTTATGCCTTTGACCTAGTAGTATTAATAGTGTCCCCTTTTACCCTTAGAGGTATTCTAATTTAGAAGATAAATTATGTGGTCACTGTACTTATAGGTGAGTACTGAGTGGGGCCGTGCAAGCAATGTGCATGAGCCAGGCCTCAGGTAGGGACTGAGCAAACATCTGCTATTCTTGTTAGAGCAGGTGCTAGGTAGGTGCTCAAGAAATGTCTGTTGAATGAACCATTTTTATAAAAGTAAAGTTCAAGGATGTTTGAAGGGGATGTCAAGATTGTAGGCACTTAGTGTTTACTGATGTTGGTAAAAATATGTTAATATGTATCTAAAACATAAAAAAGTGCCATGAGAGAGGTACAGGTGAAAGACACTAGACCATCTGAGTCTGTTGGAGCTGGTACAGAAGCTTGTTGGAAGGGCTGGGCCTTGGGTCCAACACTGGAGCATGGGAAGGTTTAGCTCAAGGTGAATAGGTGGCCAAAATTGCTCTGGCTAATGATAGCAAAGAAATAAACTTGAGT